GTGTGTCTTAGTGCTTCATTCTATTGGTTTATTGGAACATACAATAAGTAGGAGTAGTGCTGTATAAAAACAAATATTCATTAATATTTTATAAAAGATCTTCATTAAAGTTCTATAATTATGAAGCTATGTTTTAATAATCAGAGAAGTGGAAATTTAGGAAGATTGTTTGAAAATGTGTACAGAAATAGACTAGATTTGCAGATAGAGTAGATCAGAGTTAACATTATACCTGCAGAAATTTTGTAAGATTTAAATTCAGTCTGAGTAATAAGTCTAGTTCTCTCCTTTGAGCATTCCCTAAAAGGTATCTGATTTGACATTCTTAGAGCTGCAGATAGAAATATACAAAGACAAAAATAAAATTAAGTTCTCATTCACTGTTAGAAAATGGCAACAAGAAACTTGTGAAACCGACTTATAATGAAGTATTGGTGAACTAGGCTCGTAGTAACTGACCGACTAAGCATAGTTTGTGTTTACCCTATTTCTTCAGTTTAGATTATTTGAGAGTTATAAAGATTATTAAGAGCTTAAGGCAAGGAAGAAAACATGGAATTCTGTTGGAAGGACAACAGAGCATTCTTGGAAAAGCAATCCCACTTGGGCTTTTCATCTGTGTTAAACTTGAACCTATAAATCCCCACAGAGCATGGACAATCAACAGAGTTGGAAGGAAACAATTTTTGCCCGATGATCGTTTCCATTTTGTATACACCCTTGGTTTGTGTAGGCCATATTCTAGCTGGCTTTTCAGTCATAAAAATCCAGTATATAATGTATCAGATACAATTGAGGTTCTAATCTAGTCTGTTAATTTATCTGAAGTTGGATTTTTAAAAAGTAATAAAAAGTTAAATGTACTTCCCTTGGATGCTTTGTTTCTTTCCTTTTTGAAACAGGTGAACCAAGCGTAAGGGATCACCAACTATTATTGGCACACATATTAAGAGATTACTGATAGCTTTCTGCAGTTAAATAGAGCAGGAGTCAGAAACTGTTGAAAGCCAGGTAGTAAATAATTTAGTTTTTGAAGGTCCTGCGGCCTGTCACAAGTATTCTGTCACAAAGCACCTATCACGGGTAGTACATACATAAACCAGCACTACTGTGTTCCATTGAATGTACAAAAGAAACCCTCTGGCTATAGTTTGCTGGCCCATGAAATAAAGATTTAAAATTTAGGGTGTGGATTTTTTTCCCCAAGATTTATATTTTGAAAAAAAAAAAAAGTCAATGTACTGAGAAGTTGGAAGAATAGTTTTGTTCCTTTAAAAAAATGATCTTTTTTCCCTTCTATTACCATTTCATTTGACTATAAGCTTTGGATCCTGTACTCAAGCCCTTCACCCCTGTCCTCATTTTGTCCCTCTCCCGATTGATAACACATCGCCTTTTGTCTGCTACTTTTTACTTCTTAAAAGACGTTTCATGTGTATCCTTAACCATCTAGGAAGCTGGAAGGGTACATTAGAGTCTAAGTCGCCTAAAGAGGCTCTTATTTTTAGTCCAAAAATAATCAAAATCAAGGCCCTGTTGTCTTGGTGATTGTAACAGTAAAATGGAGGTGTCAGCTTCCTAGCCTAAAGCAATGGATAATGCCTGGAAAGTCACATTGAATATTAGTGTCCCTGCAAATAGAGGGGATTATTTGTAATGTGCTAAGTTGAAATCAGTGTAATTTTTCCAGGTCTATTTTTACTTTTTTATTTTCATATTTTTAACTAGTTTTCATGATCTTTATTAACTTATTTCGTTCTTTTTTCCCTCTAATTTTATTAGCTGCCTTTATGTTCGGCAATTTCTGTTAGCCAGATTATTAGTACAAACTTGGATTACTTCTGATTTTTAATGAACATTTTGTCTGGTTGGAAGACTAAAGGTAGAGGGATCTACTATGCAGTCAACTTCTCCATTTCAAAATTTAAGTTGTTAAATCTATGCTATAACATTAGAAAAGGAGGAAATAGACCTACACTGGATCCCATGGAGTCAACAAGTCTAAAAATGTATTTAAAGTCATTTGATTGTTTTAAATGATTTTCCTTTTCAAAGTCTGCATACTTAATGGTGAAAGGGGTTTCAAATGAAAACAAATGGAGGTAGTTGTAGGGAGAAGTTAAGTCATTTTAACTGGCCAGTGTTACTCCATATAATAACAATCTAAGTCACTGAGGTTTCTTGACTTGATTCTGAAGGTTGGTGAAGGAAGATGAAGGTCTAGAGAGTGAGACATGGAAGGTGACTCCTAGCTGGATTTGGTCAGAGAGGTGTGCTACAGTTAGAGACCAGTAGGGTAGGGCAACCTTGTTGAATAGGCAAGGACTGTGGATGTAATAGTTGCTATATTCCATGCTGGATGTAGGGTCTGTGGCTATCAATCTTTCCCAGGCAGAGACTTGGAGATATGAGATGGCAGGACCCCATTAGGATGACTCGGGCAAGAGCATTGTGGGAGATGGCAGGAGCCAGTGCTGGGAAGGTAAGAGAAAGGCCTGAAGGTGAATTCAGGGCCTGGTTGTTACCTCCAGCAGGGACAAAGGTTTTGAAGAGCCACAAGGGTTCTTAAGTACTTGCTAAAAATATTAACAGTTATTTTAATTGCCTTCTCCAAAGAGCATAGCACCTTTTCAGTGGTCATCAGTGTAAAGGAAGAAATGAGCTAGTAGGGGAAAGTGCCCACTTCATTGTGGAAATTCTACCCTCTATACTGAAGGAGGTTTTGATATATAGTGATCTGGAAAGGTAAAATGATAAGTGGCCAAGATGATATAACTACAGAGGATCAATTCAGTTGTCTGGGAGGGGTCTGAGAGCACTGAAATGAACCTAGTTACTGTGGGCATAGGGGTACAGATGGAAGAAGCTGGCAGGGTGAGACATCTCACCAAGCAACGAAAATCCACTTGCAGGTTTTCTACTGGACCTGGAGGTAATGGGGAGGAGACTCTCACATAATTAAGAATGTAAAATGGAACTAAATTGAGCAGCTTTAGGTCATAGAGCCTTTTATTTTAAATTTACTCAGGTTTTTTTTTCCATGGGATTTAAATTAAAAATGTATTTTTTAAATTATTCAAACCCAGAATTTACTGTAAAAATGATGAGTGAAATCAGGAGCTGTAGAATTAAATATTGACCATCCCTGTTATTCCTAACAATCTAAATATTTTATTGCTGTTTATTGATAGATCAAAGTAGCATCTAAACAGGCCTTCTGACATAAAACTGTACAGTTTGCTCTTCCAGGAGCTCCAGCCTTCAAAATATTTGGACAAAAGGTGTTGATGAGAAGATCTGGTAGCTTCTCACTAGCTGGGTTGCAGAGGCAATAAAAGCTCACAACCTCAGTGCATCCCAAGAGGTGGTCTCTCATCTATTTTCCTCTATTTAGAGGAATTCCCTGCTAATGAGGAAGCCAGTTGGCTGTTTGCCTAGTGCCATCTGGAGACCTGCAAGTGTCACAGAAGTTTGTTAGGCCTTTTAGATGTTGACTTTGTGGACTTGTCTACTGACAGGTGGTGACCTTCACTGGGGTGAACTCAGAGAACTATGGCGTTGGGTTTGACTCCTTTCAGCATTCAAGCAGAAATGCTGTTCAGTTGCCTCCCACACCTATTGCCTATTTAGTGGCCACTTGGCCTTCCCTGCCATTTGGTGGCATTGCCCTTCCCCCCTCTGCATTCCCTCCTCCCACCTGCCAGTTTCTAAACAGATCTTGCCCAATCTGGCTCCATTCTATGTGTACCCATTTGAAAAGAACTTGGGTAACAGGCAGAGATAGAGGAGGCTCTGCATTTCTTTGAAGATTCAGGACAAAATAATCCTACAGTACCTTCCAGTGGTTATGCTTTTACCTTTTCCTGGTTTGAAGGAATTATCTAGTTAATGAGAAAACATAAGAAATTGAGAATCTGGTGTAAAGCCCAGCTCAGTGTCTCATGTGAACTATTTTGTCATTAGTGGTTGTAAAACCATATGGAAACTCCAAAGAAAAGTTCAGTCTAATTTTCTACTTTCAGTTTGAATGCAAGAAGATTCTACTGGTGTCTTGATAAAAGCCTCTGCATGTACACATTGCTGTGTTATACTTAAGGCAATTCTGCTTGCATAAAAAGATTTTTGAAAAGCAAATGATAATGTCTCTAAATCAAGATGGCTCAGTTCTGACAATTTTTACACATAAGGTACGACATTCAAAACATAGGTTTCATTTTTTTTTTTAAATTTTGCTCCTAAGCTATCTGGGCATATGTTTTTCATTGGGGGGAAAAAATTCCAGAAATTGGTCATTTTTATTCCACTAAATTAATGGTGAGGAACTTATTTGATAAAACATGACTGTAATTCAACACAAAAAGCACGTTCATTTGTTCTTTTTGCCTGTGGGAAACATCTTACTATTTTACTAAAGGATAGGGTCACCTAAAGGGGAAATCTGTCGTCTTAAATCGTTCTTCTTTACACGTCATCAGCCAATACATGAGCTTGGGTGGGTGCTGCAACAACTGGAGGAGGGGATGTTGAGAGAGCTCAGAGAATCCTTGCTTTTTCCTGCGGTGAGAGGGACTTTATCTCTTCAGAGAAGCGATGGTCTGAAAACACACTGCGAGTTGGTAGAGACGCGAACCGCTCAAATAGGGCTGCTGGCGGTGTTCCTGCCTTCGTCCACGTGTGCCTCAGGGAGTTGTAAAGTGAGTTTTGAGAATAAGGCGGGAAGCCCAGGTTTGATATCCTGGAGCTATGTTCCCGAGGGCCGAAGGCCAAGGTGGCATCCGACCAAGGGCGCCTTCCACTGGGTGGGCGCGCCGCTGGTCCCCGGTCCTTGCCTTCAGCATCTTCACCTTGCTCCCCTTCCTCCGAAGTTGCGGAGGTGCCGGGAAGAGGAGGGGCCTCGTCTCGGGCGCCCGAGTGATTGGTTGTCCGGGGTCCTTGGCGAGGGCTCTGTGGTCCAGCCCTGGTGGAGAGGGGCGGGGCGGCCACTGCTCCAACCACCGCCGCCACCGCTACAGTCGCAGCCGCCGCAGCCCCGGCCGCTGGGCAAGTCACTCCGAGCGGCTGCTTTCCGGGTGCCCCGACACGGACAGGGGGCGCCGCGCTCAGCTCGTTTTGCGCCAGAGCCATGCCCGGCAGCCGCGTGTAACCGCCGAGCTTCGACCGCTGCGAGCCCACCTCGTGCACCGTCCCTCGCCCGAGCCGAGCTTTCTGTGCACGCAACTCTCTCGGCCCCCGCCGCCCCGCACCACCATGCCCCGGGCGACTGCCTTTGGGGCCCCGGTGTCACTGCTGCTGCCGCTCCTGCTGCTGCTGCTGTTGCCGCTGCCCCGCGGCACTGGGGGGCTGGAGGAGCGCTTGGACGTCGCCTCGGACTATTCGGCTCTGGAAGGCGAGGAGGGTGCGGAGCAGCAGCTGGAGCATTACCACGACCCGTGCAAAGCCGGTAGGTGCAGTCGCCTCCGGGGAAGTCCGGCCGAAGTTTGCCTTTGAAATGCAAATGAGTGGTGGGCAAGCCAGCGCTGCAGTCTGTGGGGCTGGTCTCCCCTCCCCTCCCTGGAGATGCCCCGGGTTCCCCGGGAAAACAATGCTTACTAGGAGCTGCTTAAATACCCCTCTGAGCCCTGGACGTTCCGGCAGGTTTGCTGCGCTCACCGGGTAGTGGCCGCAGGGACGTTCCCAAAGCGAATCGAGTTGAGTACCCGAGGCCGAGAGGGCGCTGAGGGTCCGTCCGAGGCTGCCTGTCAGCCGAGGGTTCAGCACCGGCCGCCGCCGGACGCTTTGGGCTGTAGCAGAGCAACCGGCTGGGCGCGGCGCTCCCGGGCTCAGATGGAGTTGCTGGCTGTAGCTTCACAGCATTTGTAAGTTTTGCTTAAAGTTTCCCAAGATCTGTAGATACTGTTGGGAAGAAATTTTAAGAAGAAAGAGAAAAGCTTCACGGTCTGTAGCAGGAAAGGTCGCCTAGGAAGAATGCGCAGGACTTGAATTGCGGCAAACTTCCCGGTAGTCCGCTCAGCATCGTCCCGGCCCGGAGATGCCCTGGGCGGGCGGAGATGGAAACCGGCAGGTGCTCTAATCCCGCCAGGAAGCGGCGCCCGGGACGCGCGGCTTCTGCTTCCCGCGAACTACCAACTAGCTGGGGGTTCTCTGGGTAGTGGCTTCCGAGCAGGAATCCTTGAGTTGTCAGCCCCAGAAGGACCCAAGCTGAGGTTCCAAAGATAGCTGAAGGGGCAGTTCCCAGGTAGACCAGGGGGTTGCTCTCCTCCCGGGGAGGTGCTGGGCTCAGAGGACCCCACTCCTGCTCTGTGGCCAGGGGCCCGAGGGTAGTGGTGTTTATCTCTGAGCATTATCTAGCCAGTGTCACTTAGCGGCCAGCTGAGACAGCAGAAAGAGCAGAAAGAGGTAAGCCATCACCCTCAGAAGGCAGGTTGGTCTTCCAGGTCTGTGCCAGTGTCATGGTCCAGAGCTGCATTCTCTCCTTCCTCTTTCAGCCTCGTTTCCTCATCTCTAAATTGGGGAGCAAATAGGAAGGCTCAGATGATTTATGGAAAAATTCTTTTCCAATGGAATGAAGATGATAGCATTTTAGTTATTTTTATTGTTACTGCAGTGGCTCTGGTATAGCCTGGGTGGAAACCAGAGGAAGTCAGGAAAGAAAAGGTTCCTAAGAGGCCAGAGGACCTAGGGAATTTGTGAGACCTCAAGATTACATAAAGGTTGAAGATCAAACCAGGCATGAGGAGCCTGGTTTTACCACAGGGAAGATTCTTGCAGAATATCCACCTAGTGCTATGTCTTGTGGGTCTTCTGAGTTGGGAAGGTGGGCAGAAGTAATTCAAGAGAATGTCAGCAGGTAGCATGCAGTGCCTCAGGGGACATCACTCATAGCCAAGGGAGAAGGGTATCCAGAGTGCTGTTGGGATGGTGGTGTGGCCCTGAAAAGAGGGTACTGAGTTTGGGAGAATGGGGCAGGGGTGGATCAGCCACCAGTGACACCTGTCAGGTACTAGTCTCTGCCAGGTGGGAGCTGGCATTTGCGGAAGGCAGTCCAGCAGCTGGTGCTCAGGAATAGGTTGAGCACCTGCAGTATGTTGGATGCTGGCCTGGACACTGCAAATCCAGAGGTAAAAAAGACACAATGTGGTCTGTGAGAGCTTCCCAGCCTCGTCTCAGCCTTGAGGGAGATCCCTGAGGCAGTGTAGCCTGGTGGGGCCTCATTTTCTCTAGCAGTTTTGGAGAGAATGTTGGATAACCAGGGGCAGGCATGTTCTGCAACTGCTGCCCACAGGATGGGATGGGCTGGCAGGGTGAAAATGTGGAGGATCCTGGGAATGTGGTTTCAGTCAGCTCTGTATCCTCCCAACCCTCTGGCCTCTCTGGGCTATGTGATGCTGAGAGTGGCCAGAAGAGGGCAATGGCAAGGGAGACCTAGGGAGAAGGAAACAATCTCATTCTACCCAATCTCATGGAAATTCCTTCATCTAGGGAACAGCCATATGGAAGGGCAACAAGCAGTTCAGAGGGCACTGAAGTCTCAATGAAAGGATTTGCCTTTGTGCTCAGCTGAAGGGAACTGCACTTCCTGGTTGCGTATTTAAAGCAAACCTTTAAGAGCAGCTCATTCCTGTCTCAGCCAGAAGCCCTTCTCCTAGGATCTGCTTCAGGGTTTCTAATCTAAAATAGTTCCCACATGTCTCTTCTCCATTGTGGGTTTCCATTCTCTGTGGATCCCACTTGCAGAGGGGAGAGACTTGGATCTGTTCCTGGCCTCTCAGTAGCTGTGTCACCTTGGACGCATCCCCTGTGGAAGGAAGATTTTGGTCTTGTTAAGAATGACAGTTCTGGGGTACTTTCCTCTTGGTTCTCATCAGCCGTCTTGCCCTGGGACCACTTCACACCTAACAGGCATTTGAGCCCCCCAGTTCCTTCCTATTCAGTGTTTTATGGTTTTGTGACCTTTGATTCCAGCCAGGTTTTCAGAGGCTGAGCAAACTTGCAAGTGTCATATGTACTATTTACAATGTTAATGTTTATAGTTCATCACTTTTTCAATTTACTTTTTACCATTTTTACCAGTTTACCATTTATTTTACCATTTGCTCTTCCGTTGTAAGTTGCATGACCTTGAACAAGTCATCTGATTTATAATTTCTAACAGATGGAAGTGCTTAAACAGTGGTTGGACACATTGTTAGGTATTTTATAAATAGATTTTCTAGAAATATGTGGAAATAACATCTTCATGCAGATCTTTTTTTTTAAAGAGAGAGTGAGAGAGGGAGAGAGAGAAAGAGAATTTTAATATTTATTTTTTAGTTATTGGCGGACACAACATCTTTGTTTGTATGTGGTGCTGAGGATCGAACCTGGGCCGCATGCATGACAGGCGAGCGCGCTACCACTTGAGCCACATCCCCAGCCCCATGCAGATCTTTTGAAGCAGATTTTAAGCTGTAAATTTTATATTTACTAATAGATAGTCTTTGATGCTGTGAAGGGGGATGACTTTTAAATCAGATGATTATGGAGTGGGACTGAATCTGTGAAGCACTCCTGGCCTGGGACTGGTGAGGGACTTTGGGTTTATGGGGTACATACTTTTGTCCAGTGGTTTATAGCTCTGCTATTTTGCTTTTCCTCTGCTTCAGACAGAACAACCCTGTACTATATCGTAAGTCACAACAACCTCCCCACCACCAGGCCTCTGAGAGCAAAGCTTGGTGTGCCTTCTGCTGCTGCCTGACCTCATCCATAGCTCTTTAAGTAGATTCAAGCCAGAAGGCCTGGATCCTTATCAGACCTTGCCTCTTACTCTCTGTGTGACTGTTAACAAGTCATTTTACTTCTCCATGCCTCAGTCTCCCCATCTGCAAAATGGAGATGAGAGCAAAAATACTTGTCTTGTAGGCTAGATATAAGGCTAGTTTTATTTGAATTCCTCAGAGAGCAAGGCCTTATACAAGGACTTGTGTGTAGACAGTGTGTTTGGAAAGCAATCCCAGGAACCAGAGGGGAGGGAGCAGGAAGGGTGAGATAGAGAAGGAAATTCCATGTAGCCTTTGAATTTATTAAATCCAAGGGAACCTGTGGGCAGCCAGCTTTATGTTTCAGCCAGTGGTTGGACAGGTGCCAGGGCTTCCTCACAGCTGAGTCCTGGGTTGGTGATATGATAAAGTTGGTGGCACCTGATGATGCATGGCTCCAGAGCCAGTGGTGAGGGTTGTGATCTATTTCTTTATGAGCAGGTTTAGATCCCTTTCACACTTTCTGACCTTACTTCTGCCTGGAATTTGGGGCCTCACTCCACCTTGTCATTCTCTCAGGATGCCTTACTAATCAGGTGTGTTTTGGAGGGGGTCACCTAGAGCACTCTCTGGGGCATCTCTTGCCAGCAGCCATCACATTGCTGATGTAAGACTAGAATGTTAAACTTTACAGAGTCGGGGATTTTGTCACAACGCCGGTACCTACCGTATCCAGCATTCTGAAGGCATTGGTCATCATCTGTTGTACCAGGGAGGAGTGATTCAGGCCCTGTGTGGGTTGGGTCCTTTGCTGATGGAACTCCATACTTGCTGTCAGCCTGACAGGAAAAGCAGCCCTGGCCAGAGGGCTGCAGACCTCATGAGCATTCCTGGAGCTCTTGGGGCCCAGGGCAGGGCTTCTCCAGCCTTTCTACCCTTCATGGCAGGCACCAGCACCCTGGTTCCTATGCAGAGCTGAGTCTCACAACTGGCATCCCAGTGGTCCCCCAGGACAGTCCCACGGGCCATGCCCTGGTTAAGGCCCCTGGCATTTCCACAGCTTGATTTTCATTCCCACTTGTCATGAGGTGCTTGCTGATAGGCAGGTGCTGATTTGATGGAATTGAAATGTTTCAGGGCCATATTGGATTTATGTGTTCGTCTTCCCAGTCTCCAGGCAGAAGCAGCATCTAGTCTACCTCTGTCTCTCCTAGTTCATTCCATGCAGTGTCCCAGAGAAGACTGGTTAAAGGTACAGGATCTGACACCTGCCAAACATGGATTCAAAATCTGCCCCTTGAGCTGGGCATGGTGATGGCACCTAAACTCCCAGCTACTTGAGAGGCTAAGGCAGGAAAGTCACTTGAGCCCATAAGTCGGAGACCACTTTGGGCAAATATAGCAAGACCCCATCTCAAAAACAAAAAGCCCTACAAAATCTTTCCCTTTGCAAGACTGTGTGACCTTGAGTAAGTTGCTTAGGCTCCCTGAGCCTCAGTTTCCTCACTTGAAAAAAAGTGCTAAAATCTACTTGCTATAAGCATTATTCATTAATTTTTCAGCAGTTTCTGGCATGAGGCAAGTGCTCAATGATATTTATATAATTATAGTTCACAAGAACTTATTGAACTTATTTGCTGAAATGTTGTAGAAGAATTTGAATTTTTGCAATAAATAAATTAATAATTTCATATAGTATAAT